GTGTACTCGGGCTGCGCGAACGCCGGCGCGTTGTCGTTCACGTCGGCCACCTCCACGGAAACCTTGGCCGTGGCCGAGAGTGAAGGCGAGCCCCGGTCCCGCGCGGTCACTACTACGGCATAGTGCGACACGCTCTCACGGTCCAGGGTGCTGTCCAGCACCAGCGAATAGTAATTCTTGAAGGTGGACACCAGCTTGAAGGGAACGTGGGGTGACAGGGTGCATGTCACTTGCCCGTTGACACCAGAGTCGAGGTCGGACACGCTTATCAGGGCGATGACGGTGCCCAGTGGAGCGTCTTCTCTGATTGGGAGTGACAAGGATTTGAATTCCATTATTGGGACATTATCGTTGGTGTCTTCAACTTCCACCATAACTGTACAATGGCCAGAGAGTGGAAGCTGTCCCTTATCAATACCCTCTACAAAAATTTCATAGGATTTGCTTTCTTCAAAATCAATATATCCCTTTAACATAATTTCTCCAGTAACTGGGTCTATGTGGAACTTGGATTTCACATTTGGTAAAATATCAGTGGAGAATGAATAAATAATGTCCCCATTCGAACCTTCATCTAAATCTGAGGCGTTAAGTTTAATTACCAACGTTCCATTAGGAACATTTTCTGGTAGTTTCACCGTATAGAGTGTTCTATCGAAAGTTGGGGCGTTGTCATTGGCGTCCAACACTGTGATGAGTAACTGAACGGTGCCAGTCAGCTCAGGTTTGCCACCATCAGTGGCCGTGAGCACTAAAAAAATCTCCGGAGCTTCTTCCCTGTCTAAAGGTTTCCTTAATACTAGCCCAAGACGTTTTATCCGCTCGTCATCAGATGGTTTTTCCAGGGAGAAATACTCATTGGGGCTCAGTCTGTAAGTCAGCACAGCGTTGGCCCCGATATCTGCATCGGATGCGCCCTCTAGTGGAAATAGAGAGTCAAGCGGCCTGGATTCCGCCATAAACAGATTCTTTTGTGTTCCGGGAAACACAGGCGGATTGTCGTTAATATCTTTCACCTCTACCTCCACGTGGAAAATCTGCAGCGGCCTCTCCACGATCACCTCCAGGTGGATGCTGCACTCCAGGCTCCGCCCGCACAGCTCCTCGCGGTCGATCCGAGAATTCACAAACA